GTGAGAGCGTGATATTGGCTCTGCGCATGCATCCCCACATGGTCCAACCGAACACCCACATAAAAGGCAGCACACAGGCGGAAGAACACTGCACCGTATTGAGCGCAGGTTGCAGCCCAACACGCCTCGCAGCTGCTAGCAAAGGAGGGGCCCCCAAGGAGGCCCAGACGACCGCGGCACGGGAGGCGGAAGCATGAAGAGACAGAACGACAACAAGAAAGAGGCGGACGAAGAGGAAAGGAGGGAGGCGGAACAACACAGCGAAAACGCGGGAGGCTCACGAGTAGGCAATCAGCTGGGCGCACGGGCAACTGTAGCGGGAGTTCTGGTAGCCGACCTGGAAGGGTGGAGGTCGAAGGTCGCCTAGACACGGGTGCCGAGGCACCGGCAATCCCAGGGGCCCAGCTGCGCAACGCCCTTCGCCAGGATCTTGCACTGAATTCCACCGATGGTGCGGGAGTCGTAGATGTAGCTGGAGCCAGAGTCGGAGCCAAGGTCGGGGCATGGTCAGAACTGGAGTCAGGGTTGGAAAGAGTGGAGTTGGTGTCGACCGCCAGGGCTGGGCCAGAAGTGACAGCTGAAGAACAGCTCGGTGTCGATGCCGGAGTGGGGGAAGGGGGGCAGGGCTCGCAGTTGGGGCTTCCCACGAACATCGCGAGGCACACTCGAGCGTCGGTGCAGGCGACGGTGCTGGCGCAAGCGCTGTCGTCGGTGCCGGCCTAGACGCCGCCGATGGTGTCGGCGTCGGCACTGGCGACGGCGCTGGCGCGCAGACGTTGGTCACGGCGTCGGCGCTGGCAACGGCGATGGCGTAGGAACCGTCGTCGATGTCGGAATCGGTGTCGACGGTGCGCGGCGCAAATTGTGAAAATCTGCCGGCGTCGGCGCCGGCGTCGATGATGGTGTCGTTTCGTGGGTCAGGGAGGCGGTTGCATTTGAACCCAATCCTTTTCCTCACCTCCTCCTCTCCTCGGGAGCCAGAGTCAGTGCCGGCGTCGGTGCCGGCGTCGATGCTGGTATCGTTTCTCCTCGAGAGCCAGAGTCAGTGCCGGCGTCGGTGAGGGCATCGATGCTGACGTCGTTTCGTGGGTAGGGAGGCGGTTGCATTTGAACCCAATGTGTTTCCTCACCTCCTCCTCTCCTCAGGACCCCGACTCAGTCTCGCACACCAGAGGATGTTTAACCCTGTGTGCGGCGGCCTTCAGGTTTTGTGCGTCCGTGCAAAAAAGCCTCGCCGCAGCTTGATGCGTGGGTCGGTGATTGTGGGTCGGCAGCAGGTCGATTGGGAGTCGAAGCTGGGGTCGGAGCCAGCGCTGCTGTCGGAGCAAGGCTGGATTCTAGCATGCAGCATGTGGATAGAGATTCCAATGGTCCATGTCGCGTTCGCGCCTGCCTCGTCACTCCGAGCGCGCCAGGCACACACCAGAGGATTTATTAACCCTGTGTGTGGCGGCATTCGGGTTCGGGGAATCCGCGCAAAGAGGACTCCTCGCAATTTGTTGCGTGGGTCGGGCGCAGTGGGTCGGCAAAGGGTTGATTGGGAGTCGAAGCTGGGATCGGAACGGGCGGTGTTGTCGGAGCAGAGCTGGAGTCTAGCATGCAGCGTGTGGTCAGGAATTCCAATGGTCCATGTCGCGTTCGCGCCTGCCTCGTCACTCCGAGCGCGCCGGGCACACACCCGAGGATGTATGAAGCCTGTGTGTGGCGGCATTCGGGTCTTGGGAGTCCGTGCAAATAGGCCACGTCGTAGTTTGTTGCGAGGGTCGGGTGCTGTGGGGTTGTTATGAAGCGGTTGCGCGTGTCTGGTGTGGATCAGCAATGGGTCGACCGCAGTTGGAGGTTTGTTGCGGGGGTCGGTTGGTGCGGGTCGGTCGTGGCTCGAGTTCGTTGCGTGAGTCGGTTGCTGTGGGACTGCTGCGGGTCGGTTGTTGGTGCTGGTGGTGCCGGTGGTATCACGGCGCCACGGGTAGTGGATGGGAGGCGCTCGGAATCCAACGTCGGACCAGGATGTGGATGGAGGGACCAGGTCCTCGGACGCCGGGGTCGCGGAGTTGGAGCAAGCTCCGGTGTCTGTGCTGGTGTCGAGGCTGATGCTGGTGCTGGTGCTGTCTTGAAGGCATCTTGGGCGTCTTCGGGGCTGGCCGTGATATTGTGTCGCGTTTTTTCCCCAGCTTTCCTCTGGGCTGGGGCGTAAATACGTGCAGTTGCAAATTGCTCCAGCGTTCAAGGCATTTTGCACATCTGCAGTCGGATGGTCGATGCGGGAGTCGGTGAGCTGGTCGGCGCGGGAGTCGTCGAGTTGATCGATGAGGGAGCTGGCAGGCTGGTCGACGTGGTAGGCCGCGATCTGGTCGGTGCGGGAGTCGGTTGGTCAGTGCGGGAGTCGGCGTGGATAGTTGAAGTCCTCAGCCCTCAATGACAGGTCCGAGGAGGTTTCGTGAACTTCGTCGCGTTGTTCCCCCAGCTTTCCTCTGGGTTGGGGCGTAAATACGATGAGGGAGCTGGCAGGCTGGTCGACGTGGTAGGCCGCGATCGGGTCGGTGCGGGAGTCGGCTGGTCAGTGCGGGAGTCGGTCAACTGGTCGGCGAGGGAGTGGGCGAGTTGCTGGGCGCGGGGGGAGACGAGCTGGTCTGCGCGGGAGTCGGCGAGCTGGTCAATGTCATGCGGCTGGCATCCGACGTGCTGCGAGAAATTGTGGTGCCCTCCGCATTGGGGGCTCCGTGATGTCACGGAATACCCCCTCACGGTCGTGTCGAGGTTGCCGCTGTCGCCGTCGTGCTGCGCGTGGTACTCGTCGCGCAGCTCTTGGGAACGATGGTGAAGCTCATGGTACCCGTCGTGCTGCGGATGGCATCCGTCGTGCAACTCGCGGTGCCCGTCGTGCTGTAGCTCGCATCGGTCGCAGTGGGTATGGTGTCCGTCGTGCTGCTCGCGGCTCTCGTCGCGCAGCCCGCGGAATCCATTCTGTCCATCGCGCCTGGCAAGCCTGTGGCTGTCCCGGCCGCGTGGCCGATGGATCGTGGGACGGCGCCAGCCCTGGACTCAGCCAGAGCCGAAACTGTGCACGAGCTTTCTCGCCCCTCGAGGGTGGACGCCGGCGTGTCGCCCTGTCTGGGGGATGCCAGCCTGCCGATATATTCCAGTGCTGCGCGTGGTCTCCGCCGCGGTGCTCGCGGGCCCCGTCGTGCTGCACGGGGTACTCGTCGTGGAGCTCATGGAGCCCGCGAGTGTGCTGGAGCAGGCGCCGGTGTTGGTGCCGGCGGTAGAGCTGCTCGTCGTCGTACTTCTCGTAATCGTGCTGTTGGTGGCCGTCGTGCTGATCCAGGGCCGCGCTGCTCGTCGCCGTGCTGCTGGTCCCAATAGTTCCCGGCAGTTTGAGCAACCGCCCGAATTTCCGCCCCGGGCGGGCACGGAGCTCTTCGAGACCAGCTCGTAGAAAATAAATCGCACCACAATGCAAGTCGCAACGAAAATGTCACGGAAATCGCTGCGGTGGTAGTGCTCCCTTCACTGGTACTGCCGCATGCTGCTCTACTCGCTGACCGGTGCGCCGCGGTGCTGGTGACGGCTCTGGCGTCGATGCTAGCGTAGTTGTCTGTGTAGCCAATACCTGAGCCGAATGGGGATATGAGCGGACTTAACACACAGCAGCGACGCGCCAGCCGCAGCCGCAGCCGCAGCTGGCGCGCGGCCGCAGTCATCGCAGTCGCCGCCGCATGGTTCTGCAAACCAAGATCTGGGAGGGTGAGTGGGATGATTGCGGGAGCAGTGGAGTCAACAACTTCAAATTAAGCAGGTGATTTTTTATAAACCAATCATACATCCGCACTCTCGAAACCACGGTCCCGCACGTAAAAACGTTGGGTTCGATCCATGCTCCCGCAGCTACGGCCATTGGAAAAAGCAATGGACTCACGCTCCCAACGCAACGACACCCTACAAAGAGCAATGGATGCGCGCCCCCGAGCTTCCAAGACGGCCGAGGCAGACCACCGAGACCGACAAGATGGCCCAAGGTGTCTCCAGAGGACACCCAGTAGGGCCCGAGTAAACAAAAAGCGAACGTTCTCTCACTCGGCGTTTCGACATTGAGCGGGGGGGGTCAGGGGGGTCTCTGGCTCTGGACCTCTGCTTAATGCGACTGTTTGAAGCAGCGCGCCCTGTGAGGGGGAGACTCCCCCTGCGTGAAAAAGGCGCCAAAAACAGCCAAGATCTACTCCATGGGGGGGGGGAAGGGGGGTAGGGGAGTGCGGTGGCCCGCGCCGATCGGCAAAACAATGAATAAGAAAATAATTACAAACTTGAATTTCCCATAGGTGTTTGAAAGATCTGGATGTCCTCACCTTTCCGGACTTCCTTCAGCTCCAGACGGCCTCGGAGGCCTCCAAGATGGCCCCAAGACGGCCCATGAGGGCCTCCAAATGGCCCGATGATCATCCAAGAGGGTCGCTAGACAGCTCAAGAGGGCACCTAGACGACCCAGGAAGGCTCCAAGAGCGTCCCAAGCTGGCCCAATGAGGGCCTCTGGAGGGACCCCAGAAAGGCAGCGTTAGAGGACCCATGGACGGCCCAAGGCGGCCCCACGACGGCTCAAGAGACCTTACAGGCGGAAAAAAGGCCCCAAGATTGCCTAAGAGGGCTCCAAGACCACAAAAGAGGACCACAAGGGACACTAAGACTGCCCCGAAGGAGCCCAAGACAGCCCTAAGACGGACACAAGTGAGCCCCTCCTCAACATCATCATCATTATAATGTTCCACATCGCAATCGTCCACTACGATGCTTCTAATCCTTATGTTCCTCCTCCTCCGTCTCTCGCTCTCTCCTCCTCCTCCTCATCTTCCTGCTCACCCCCCCTTCACCATCACCACCACCATCATCGTCAGTTACGTAATACTCCCTCTCCTCCCCAGGACAACTTCATCTGATCCTAAGTAAACTCAAGACGACAGCAGTTGCCTCCGAAAATACTGGGCTGCCACTGTGGCGGGACTTGCCGCAGGCAATCGGATATCTTACTGTTCGGTAAACCCGGGAGGCTTCCTGTCGCAGGGGCAGAACCGTGTGACGACATCGCTGCCGAGGTCTCAGCTAATTGAGCCGCCACAACAGGCCGCGCCACTCCATGCAAGCCGGCACAGCTGGAGGCGGCGGGCGGCGCGACCAGCAGGTGCGTTCGGGGAGGGCTGACCAGCCGCATTGGCTGCGTAATAGTCTCACTGCTTAGTTTCGTCTGCGCCGCAGCAGACAGTTCAATGTGCAACTTGTCAAAATATGCGGCCAACACGCTTTCGCCAAGTGGCCACCGCTTCTCCGCCTGACGACCCCATGCAATGAATATCTCTGTAGGTGCCTCTGCCTTTGTTTCCCTGGGGAAATGCGGCTTCATCTGTACCTTAATTCCGTTGATGATTGCCCCGCTGCCTCCTTCCAGAATGCGATCACGCACATGAGCGCTTTCAAGGGTGACGACCGCGCATCCCATTGAAGTGTGCTTCCTCACTTTGACGTGCTTCCCAGAGCACTCTCGGCATTCTCGTTTCTGTTTTCCCTGATCCCTGACAATATGATCTGCGTTGCCTGAAAGCTCCCCAGCACCACCGTCAGAGGCGTTGACGAAGTTGTGAGACGAAAGCCCGAGTCCCTTACAAGTGCGCCCACACTTGTGCGATTTGAAGAATGCAGCGATGCCTTTGGGACCGAGGTCTCCTGGCCCGAAACTGCCATCCAAAGATAAGACCTGCGGATCGGTGAAGATCAGATGCGGTCGACGACGATGGATTAGCACACCTTGTAGATCCGCTACGAGAATACGCCCTTGCGACATCCAGTACGTAAAATGCGAGAATGCCTGCGCAACCTCAGAGTATGGCGCTTCCCAATTCACAAACCCTTTGTTGGAGTTGTATTTCAGGAACACCCCTGGAAGATGCCGTTCTCCGATCAAGCAATCCGCGGGCGCTTGGGGACCATCCAAAAAAGGAAGCACCGAGTACAAAAAGCACTCCACGAAGACAATCTTTGCACAAGTTCGACCCTGATGAAAGACCGTCCATGCGTACTTAGACATTGGTGATTTCCCCAAAGACTTCCGCGACCTGACAGCACCCCCAGGGTCGGGAAACGAACCCAGGGGGTCCTGGACCGGGCGACTCTGGGAAGATCATCTCAGTCGCTGTACTTCTGGGCGGCCCTGACCTCACCCTTCAAGCGATCAGCAAGTTGCATCTGGAAACATCGTGAGTAGAAGCTGGCAGCTGCACTGCTCTTCGCGTAGGCCGCCACAACTTCGTGGTTGTTGTAAAATGGATCACTGTATCTGGATAATTTTGCGACGAGCCGCGCGTCGAAATTATCGCTATCGTACTCCGTGCCATCCCTGTCGCATGCACCATACAAACGAACAGTCTTATCTTGGAAACAATGAACGAGTCGCATCCCGCCCATAGTGAACGGATTCGTTCGCATCTTGACGTCGTACGGGCCGTCTCTCATTTCTTTCTGCTCGAACACTTTGCCGTCAAACTTGAAAAGACTTCTGACACATGTGAATGTGACTGAATCTTTGGAGAAGGTGTACTGATTTGGCAACTCGAACGTGACTTGCCGCAGGTGTCTGCGACACCCCTGCGCCGAGCCATCTTCGTCAGCAGACCTGATTTGAGACCCAACGTCCTTGAAGGAAAAAACACTCGAGCTGGATTTGGTGGACGTGATAGTTGACGTTATAGACGAAAAGGCCTGTTTCAAAGCGCCGAGGCTCAAGGCAGATGGCACGAACGTGCCACTCCCGATCGATGCCAGCTGCTGCAAGTAATCGAACGACGTAAGAGAGTCTCCAAAGCCAATTGCGTGAACACGGAGGCCAGAAACACTCGCGAGCAATTGCTGCGCTGTTTGCAGCATGCGGTGCATGTCGCCTGGCCGCCCATCACTGAAGACGAGCAAATGTGGGGAGCCCATGCCAGCATGCGTTTGCAAAACCTCTTTAGCTGTGCTGAGACCGCAAACAAACTCCGTCGACTTTTTAGCCCGGAGTGTTAATCCGAATACGTGATCGCGAGCTTCGATGACCATCTTGGCGCTGAAGTGAACGGTGCTCGTGTCATTGAAGGACACCAGCGAGAAGTAGTCATTGCACGAGGGAGCCTGCGCATCGAAGAAGGAGCAGAGACACGCGGTCACTGCAGCAATCCTCGAGACATGCGAGGCATCGTCCACCACGTCCTCAGTTCTCATGCTCCCCGACGTGTCGACCAAAATGACGACATGAGCTCGGGAAGACGCTGCAATGGCGTTCCTGGATGCCCCAGCGCTCTCCCCAGGAAGTGGAGCAAGTGTATCCCCATCTTCCTCATCATCACTTTCGCTTTGATCCATGCGCTCCAGAACAGCAATATCATGCAACTGGCTTTTCGCTGATGCGGCCTGCAAACACCGCAAAACATTGCGGTCGATTTCTTCGTCTGCGATCACTGCGCTGATCCGCCACCGAGCTTGCAGCGGTTGCTGTGTGTCGGACCTTTTTTAGGCTACGTTGCTTCCCCCCCACCCCTGCAGCATCGATCCCAACATGTCTCCATTTAGGTATACGCGCCTGCGCTGTTGGCAGTCCCGGCAGAGAATGGTGTCAAGCTCGACGTAGACGGAAGGAGGGCCCGTGGCCCCTTTTGGCCCCCTCCCGCAGGCCTGCAGTGGCTCAGCCGGCGCCATCGGCCTCGTCAGACGACCCCACGACAGCCCCGAGGCGGATCCTGAACTGCCAGAGAAGCCCCAAGAGAGCTCAAGATGGCCTCAAGACGTGCCGCGAGGCCCCCAAGACGCCCCAAGATGGTCCCAAAAACGCTGCCGTCGCGCTGGCTTGAAACTAGCATTTGCCTTCTCGCGCTTCCGAGCTTGAGTACGCCCAGGACGGCCCAACAAGCCCCAATATCGCCCCAGGACGACCCAAGAGGCCTCCAAGAGGGCCCCAGGACGGCTCTAGAGGGTCCAAGAAGCATCCTAGACGGTCCAACAGGTCCCCGAGAGAGCTCGAAGAGAGGCCCCCAAAGGAGAAACCGAACTGATTTTGTGAGCTCCTGCCCCCAGGAGAACTGCACGTGGCCCCAGAAGCCACCAAAACGCCCCCGGAAGCCCCTACGAAAAGCCCACACGAGGCCCCCAAGAGGTCCCCAGAAGTCCAAACCGATGCTGTCTGCAACTACCTCGGACACCAGGCCGACTGCAGGAAACCACTGCGACTCTCGCAACGACCCGCGCAGACTGCATCTCTCCATATTCATTTGACGCGCCGACCAGGCAACCCAACAGCCAACCAAACCAACCGACCGACCATCCAACCACCCAGCCAACGAGCCAACCGCCCGCCCAAAGACTTTACGGGCATACCAGCCAGTCAACCATCCAACCAACCGAACAGCCGAGGAACCCAACAACCAGCCGGCCACCCAATGGGCCACCGACGCCCCAGAAAGACAGACAAACCCATGAAAAGGGTCCAGAGACGGCCCCTCGACGTCCAGGAGCCCACCGAAGCAGCACGACCTCCCTAAGGAGACTGCAAGCCAGCCACATACGAGGCAGCACGAACACCATGGAACACCGCAACCGCGCCTCGGTGCAGACTTGCAACGCAGCTCCCACAAACGCGGTGACGGATATGCGCGGCAACGCAACTGGATAATTTCGTCGTGCCAAGCATCTTCCGCTTTCGACGAATCTGGATCTAGATTGTCAGAATCGAACTTCAACCAACAAATGGTGCAGAAAAATTTCGCGTTACGATACCGTGTTTTATTTCCTCCGCTTTCCATGTCAAGCCACCCCTCACGAATGTGCTGACAATGGCTACATTTTGCGACGTGACCGAAAGGCACCGTGTGAGGGCTCTGAGCCGAGCTGGGACCGCCAGCCGCAGCAGGCTTGGATGCACTCTTCAGCTTCGCAACTGCCTTTGCCTTTGTAGCCGCTTTCGCCTTTGCTGCACCCATGGCACCAGCCGCGGCCTTCGAATCGGGGACGGTCGGGGCATAGAATCGCACGGCCCAATCCTGGTCCCTGGAGCTCGTGCTCATAGCACCAGATCCAGCGTGCGGAGAGGGCCACGCGCAAATAATCGAGCACAACTCGAGCCGAAATGGCTACCGATGCGTTCTGGGCAAGGAAAGTGGGCACTCGTTTGACTGGCGAGCCTGCTGGGATCTTGCCAAAGCCACAAACAAGCAAGCACTTGACTCGAAGAACGCTACGGGGTGCAAAAAAAACCGATCAGTCAAACATGGCGCATCAAAATCAGTAGTGATTCACAGACGAGCACAAGCTTGTTCGATGAAAACGTCCAGCAGCCTCCTTAAAAGAGGTCGGATGGCGAGCCTTCGAGCAAGAGAAGCACCCGCCCAGCGGAGTCCAGCGCATGATTTGGAACGGCTGTTGCAGATGAAAATTCATTTCGGGATCCCGATCAATGTACCAAGTGACGAGATCACCTGGCATCCCAAACTCTACTTGCCGTCAGACGCACCGTCAGCCGACACAGCATGTCCCGAAGGTCTTGCTCTTTGATAAACGCGCTCGCACGCGTGTGACCTGCTGAGCTTCTGTTGTAGTGTGGTACGTCTTGGAACAGAATGGTTATATGTATTAGCCCCTGCACCTTGAAAAGAAGGATTAGTTGTGCGCTCCTGGCTTTGATTAACGAAAAACGACATCCGACCTCAAACCATAAAATTGCGTCTTGCGTGATCGGAATGAGGTGGGCGAACGGCCATTCACTGTCCCTGGGTGCGTGGCTGAAGTGAGGTTCCGCGGTGCGGATTGTTGTTGCGTCGTTGTTGCTTGTTTGTTTGTTTGCTGTTGTTGTTCTCGTCGTCCCATCCGCGACCTGGCCCGCGACCCATCCGCGACCCGCCCGCGACCCACCTGCGACCCACCCGTGACCCACGCGCGACCCACCCGCGATCCACCCGCGACCCACCCGCGCCCCACCCGCGACCCGGCCCGTGACCCCCTCGCGACGCAGTGTGGAACTGATAGGTTCTGGCGACTGGTCGCCGCCATCCTCCTCCATCCTCCATCCTGCTCCATCCTCCTCCTCCTCCTCCTCCTCCTCCTCCTCCTCCTCCTCCTCCTCCTCCTCCTCCTCCTCCTCCTCCTCCTCCTCCTCCTCCTCCTCCTCCGCCATCGAGTTCCAGCAATTGCTGGTGGGCAGAGGGCACGGAGAGTTCCACGCAGAGGCGCCGCGAGCAGAAGCGAGCTCGCCTATGAAGATGCCGTGACCCTGGAGGCCATACTCGGGCTTCACGATGTACGCGTGGCCGCCTGCGGGAGTTGTGGAGGAGGAGGAGGAGGAGGAGGAGGAGGAGGAGGAGGAGGAAGAGGTCAGAGAAGGTCAGATGGAGAAAGACGGGGTGCTGCCATCGGAGAGGAACGTTTTGTCACCACTGTGGGGGGGGGGGGGGACGTCCCAGAGTGGGCCAGCGACAGGCCACACCTCGAAAGAAGAGGCCAGCAAACGCAGCGAACATGACCAGGAGACGGGAAAACGAGGAGGAGGAGGAGGAGGAGGAGGAAGAGAGGAGGAGGAGAGGAGGAGGAGGAGGAGGAAGAGAGGAGGAGGAGGAGGTGAAGGAGGAGAAGGAGGACACGCATGAGAAGGAGAAAAGACGAGGGGAGAGACGGAAGAGAAGGAGCAGGGGCATGTCGTTTCGGACTCCACCAGGGACAATCGACTGCCACCCTTCAGGACGACAGAGAGAAAGAAACGTAACGTGAAACCTGCAAGGGCACTGTGGGACTGCAAACAGATCCCCTGAAAAACAGGCCCAGACCTGCAGCCTGGGGTCGAGAAGTGCGGCACGGCTGCGCCACAGGCAGTGGACGTCGGCCACGCTGCTGGGACACTGTTTTGGAGGGGGGGAGGAGCAGAGCGAGGAGCGAGGACCAGGGGGAGGACCAGGAGGCGGACAACGTACCAAATGACTCCAAGACGCTTCGAGAAGCACCCCAAAGGGCCCGAAGAAGAGGGCGCGAGGCCCTCTCGCCTACGACCCTTGCACGGCGGCGGGTGCGCCGAAGGCTAGCGCGTGAATCGTGAGACTGCGAGAGCTGGTCGTGTTGTGACGCGGCTCCCTTCCACGGGCCCATCATGGGTCCGACGAGGTGCTGGGGCGGGCAGCAGTCATGATGATCGGGACGTCAGAGGACGAGGAGGAGGGGGAGGAGGGGAAGGAGGAGGAGGAGGAGGAGGAGGAGGAGGAGGAGAAGGAGGAAGAGGGGGAGGAAAAGAGAGGAGGAGGAGGAGGAAAAGGAGGAGGAGGAGGAGGAGGAGGAGGAGGAGGAGGAGGAGGAGGGAGGGGGAGCGGGCGACGCGTGCGCAGGGTGGGCCACGGGGCCTGCACGGCCCATGCAGTCCCAGGCGGACCGCGGGTGGCGCGCGGCATGCCGCCGGGGGGGGGGGGGGAACAGGTCCGCACGCTCGTGCGGACCACGAGACCGGGAGGTGAACATGGCGTGCGCGGGCGACGCGTCAGAGAGAGGGGTCCATCGGAGTGAACGGCTGGGTCCCAAGGGCAGATCGGAGAAGCGTGCGATGTGCTGCGCCTCCCCTCTCCTCTCACGTTCCTCCTCGCATCATCTCCCTCTCTCTTCTTTCTCTCTGTCCCTCTCTCTCTCTCTCTCTATCTCTCCATGACTCTCTTTATCCCTCTTTCTCCCTTATGTTTTTCATCTCCTCTCTCTCACTCTCTCTCTCTCTCTCTCACACTCTCTCTTTCTCTTTCTCTCTCTCTCTCTCTCTCTACATATATATATGATATATATATATATATATATATCCCTCTCTCTTTCCTCTTTCTCGTCCTGCATGTCCAACTCCTAGCCCTCCTCCGTTCGCTCCTTATCGTATTTCAGTCGCGCTCCTCTTGTCTCTCGGGAGTGGGGAGCGCAGTGAAGGAAGTGCTCGGCATGGGAACTTGCGTGCGGCTCACCTCCAATAACGCCGCAATGCATAGGAAACTGACGAGAACACATGCTGCTAGAAGGAACCGCGGTGCAGATTCTTCTTGAAGCCTCCTTGGCCCGTCCCTGGTGTCTCTGCCGCTGCTTTGATGCTCTGCTGGGTAATATTGGGGCTCTTTTGGGGACCGCCTGGAGTATCCTGGGGTTCGTTGGGCATGCTCTTTGGTTTTTTTAGCGCATTTCGGGTTGTGTTTTTCGGTGTCTGCTGGCGATCCCAGGGGCCTTCTTGGGGCGGAGGGCTGGCAATGTTAGTTCGAGCTCCCTTCCTTGAGCCCGGTTTAGGGACCTCTTGGGGCCGTCTTGGGTCGTCGTCGGGGTGTATCGGGCCCTCTTGGGGCTCTTTTGGGCCGTCTGAGGTCCGTCTTGGGGGCCTGTTGGACACTGACGTCCAAGACGGAGAAAGCGAATACGCTCGGAAAGTAAGTTTCCCCCATCGGATTGGAACGAGTTTTACTTCTCAGGTTCCTCTCAGGGGCGATCTCGGTGGGCCTCGTCTGGGGCAAAACAAATAATCAAGCTGAGAATTCCACCGGTGAGGTTCCGGTGTTCTCGAAGCAATGCTTGCACTGATGGGGTCCTAGCGGATACCTTGAACGAATATTTAAGCAAATCTCTGGCCGTTGAGTTCCCGCGTTCCCGCTTCCAGGTTCCTAGGATCCCGGTTCCAGGTTCCTGGGTTACCGGTTCTTGGTTCTGGCAAGATTTTGGTGGGCGGCAAGGTTCCAAGGTTCCTTGGTTGCCAGGCTCGGGATCAGGATGTCCCAGCACTGTAGGTAGATGAGATCGCGGATGGTATATAGAGACGAGTGAAGAGTACATATTGGAAAGTATAACGCAGACTAACTAAAGAGACAGAAAGTGATGTATTCGTTATATGTATATACCTATAAATATATGTGTATATATATACGTATAGCAAACATAGGTAGGAAACTTTAGAGAGCAGAGCGAACTGATAGAGTAGAGAGAATCAACGCAGTACATATCAAGACGGAGAGGGTGATACGGAGTATACAGAGAGAGGGATAGAGAGAGAGAAAGAAAAAAACTGGGCTGCATCTGTACCCAAAGATCTGTACATGTAGTAAGCACACGTGCTATATCTGTCAACGTGGATACAGACTTTGGAAACACAGAGGGAGACAGAGAGAGAGAGCGACGGAGAGAGGGGGGAGATATAGAGAGAGGGAGAGAGGGAGACATTCCCTGAGCGGTGCTTGGAGAATTGAATGGGTATGTCAGGGCTTCGGCGGGTGCCCAGTTGGTGGGCGCCCGTGAGCGCCTCGTGGGCGCCCCACGTTTGGTGTGTCTCTGTGTGTGCGTGTGTGTGCGTGTTGTGTGTGCGTGTTGTGTGTGCGTGTTGTGTGTGTTTTTGTGTGCGTGTTGTGTGCGTGTTGTGTGTGAATGTTGTGTGTGTGTGTGTCTGTGTGTGCGTGTTGTGTGTATGTGCGCGTGTGTCTGTATGTGGCTGTGTGTGTGTCTGTGTGTGTCTGTGTGTGTCTGTGTTGTGTCTGTGTGTGTCTGTATGTGTCTGTGTGTGTGTGTCTGTGTGTGTGTGTGTCTGTGTATGTGCCTGTCTGTACGTGTGTGTGTGTGTGTCTGTGTGTGTCTGCGCGTGTTTGTAATTCTGTGCGTGTCTGTGTTTGTCTGTGTGTGCGTGCGTGGTGGGGGCGGGGGGGGCGCCACTCGCGGGCGGCCGAAAGTCGAAGCAAACGGCCAGCCGATGGCTTGCACAGAGGCCAGACGCGGGCTCATCAGAGAAGAGAAGTAGGCCACAAGGCCAGCCTGACCCCACGCCCAGCACTCGCGCAAAATCGAGCGCCAGAACCCAGGGCCCCCTCCGCAGCCCCGCAGGGCCACGCCGACACCCAACCGCCCAGGGGCCACGCGAGCCCAAACAGGGGCGCGCCTACGGACCCCCAAGCGTGGCGCCAAGGTGCGCGCGCGCGGTCGGGTGCCGCGCTCGCAACAACGGGCGACCCCTACGGTGCCTCGCAATTCACTCGGCAGGGCTGCGCTCAGACGCGGGCGGCGGCGCCCCTGGGCAGTCGGCCAGGGCCGTCTGGCCCCGCGCGATACACAGGCCCCGCAGAGCCGACGCACCACGTGTTCGAACCTAGCAACCAGCTGATGGCCGCGCTCGGGAGTCGCAGCACCCTCTTGATCCGCGGCCGCCGAGGCGACCTCGGCCAAGAGCTCGCGAGACACGCGCGACACGTCCCCCACCCTCCGCCCCCCGCCCTCGAAGGCGGCAGCAGGCATGTCGGGAGGGGTCGCAGGGGAGGGGCCGTCTCTCTCTCTCGGCAGGCGCGGCCAAAGGGAGGGCGGATGCCTCGCCGTGGGCCGTCGACGCAGCAGCCCCGCACCCGGCAGCGCGCGCCAGCCGCCGCGCCGCGCGCGCAGACGAGCAGCCCGCGCCAGCCCCCAGCCGCGGCGCCGCGGCCGCCCGCCCCTGCCAACGCACTCTCCAGGCTCATCCTCGCGCTGCCGTCGCCTGCGATGGCCGGGCACCTCCTCCGCTCCAACGGCGCCCGCCGCGCCCTCGGGCCTCGGGCCTCGGCGCCCCCCGCCGCCTCGGCACCCCCTGCAGGCCGCGCCGTCGCCTCGGCTCCGCGGGCTCCGACGCGGGCAGCCACCGCGCCGAGCCTTGGAAGCGGGCTTCGCTGACGGGCTGGTCGCGGTCATCTGCCGGCACCAGGCCCGGGGTTTCTCAACCGGTCGCTGGCGCGGCGCTTCGGGCCCCTGCTCGCCGCGCCCCCCGTCGGCCAGCACGGCCGCTGCCGCGGCTGCCGCTAGCGCCATGGCCGGCCCCAGCGCGGGCGTGGCCATGGCCTCTGCAGCGCCCGCCCCAGCGCCACCACCAGGCCCCAGCTGCCCACCTCTTGCCCGCGTCCCCGCTCCTGGTAGCTCAGCTCTGGCATGTCCAAGTCGCTGGAAGGGCCTGGCGAAGCTTCTCTGCAACGCCCGCCTCCCTCTGCCTCTTCCTCGGTGGCCGTCCGTGATCAGGTGCTGCCTGAGTCGCCTCGCAGCGCTCGCCTGCGACCGGGGCGGCGACCGCCCCTCTGGCGAAGGCCCCATCGCCCCTGCCTTGCGGTCCGCGCCCTCCGCTGTCTCCGCGGGCGGCAACGCCGCGGGGGCCCTCAACGTCTGACCCGCTCCAGGTGGCAGCCCAACCTGTGCGCATCACTGATGCAGACGAGGTGCTAACCTCGTGCCCTCCAGCGGATTCGACGCGCATGGGGCCCCTCACCCCCCCGCTGGCCAGCCCCCCACAGGGCAGCGCCAAGGGTCGCAGCGGGCCCCGCCCTGCCCGCCGCCCCAGCCTTCGCGGAGCAGCCAACGTCGGGCTGCAGACCCGACGCGGGAGCATCTATCCATGGGGCCGCCGCACTCGTCGCAGACGTGCCCCCCCCCCCCCCCCCAAGACGCCCAGCATGCCGCTGTCCTCCATCGGGCGCGGGTCCTCGACGCCGCCCGCCTCGCTGAGGACCTCGCCAATCTCGGCGCCCCCCCCCCTGCGCCTCCGCGCCACGGCCCCGAGAAAGCCTTGAGGGATCGCGCCGCGCGCGCGCCAACTATCCGCCCCCCGCCGTTGCAGCCCCCCTCGCAATGTCGGGTGCCTCTCAATTGGGTCCTGAGCGACCGCGCTCCGCCAGGGGCGTCGCGGTCTCCCTGAGAGAAGTCACGAATGGACGCCGTCGGCCCACGCGGGGAGGCGCTCTGACCGCACCTCGGCCCACAACCCCTTCCGCCACCGCGCATAGGCATCCGACCCCGACGTCGCCAGCACACTCCTCTCCTCGCCCGCGCACTGGTCCCCATCAGTGGCCGCGCCCGTACGCCTCCTTCTCGGTGTGCGAAGCCTGCCTCCTGCCGGCCCACTGAACTCCCCCGCCGCGCGCCCCACCTGAGTGATCGCCAGCCCGGGCAGTGGCACCCCGGGGCAAGCGGCGCCTGCGCAGCGGCCGTAGGAGGCCGTCAGGGGGCCGCAGCTGCGTTGCTGACCGCGCCTTGTGCGTCGGCAGCTGACTGGCGCCTTGCCCCGCTGCGCCGTCCTGGCCATTGCCACCACTTGCCGCGTTTTGGCCTCGGGCCGCGCAAGTCCTCCTGCGCGGCGGGGGCCACGTCGAAGGCGGTGGGTCCTGCCGCTGCAGGGCGTTGATCCACCTCCTCGGCGCTCTGTGCTCACCGTTGTGCATCACGACGCGCCTCTGCCCCTCGCTAAGCGACTTAACCCCTGCCAGGCATCTGCGACGGATGTCAGCCCGTCGTCGCCGCGCGCGGGCGCAGCTCTCCGCCGCCAGCTTCGCGGTCGCGAGGCCCGTGGCAGCTCTGACGCCACTGAAGCGCGCGTGCTGCAGCATCTCCGTCACGCACGGCTCACGCCAGCGGCCCCACTCGCCCTCTGCGTCCGAATCCAGGGTCCTGCTGCTCGATGCGGAGGGCTGGGCTCCTCTTGGCCCGCCTGACCTCCTTCCGCGGGACGCATCCAGGTCGGCCCTCAAGCCGCGTCTGCCAGCTGGCTGCCGCGCCAGTCTCGCTGCTGACCTGGGGCACGCCGCCACCCGCGCAGGCGCAGCCCAATCCACGGAGACTGGCGTCGCGCGACTGGGCGAGGGCGTCGGCCGCCCCTCCTCCCAGGGCCTCCCCAGCCCCGCTCTCCCTCTCATCAGCGAGGGCGTTTGCCACCCCCCCCACTATGGGCCTCGCCTGGGCCAGGGCCCCGACCACCTCTGCGCCGAAGGCCCCCCGAACCGGAACCCAAACGTGCGCTGAGCGAGGACACCGGCAACCCCGCCGCAGCGGGCCTCGCGGGGTGGGTCCGCGGGGCGTCGGCTGCCGCCCCCCTGTGGGCTCCGCAGGCCTCGCTCGCCTCGTCGAGATGGGGAAACCGATCAAGTCCACCTCCATGGACCGGCCAGCCCCCGCCCGCTCGGGCCTGCGGCCTCCCCGAACACACCTGCCTCAGACCCACGCCCGCGATCTCCTCGAGCACGCCCTCGAAGTCCCAGGCGGTAAGTGCCTCGGCCCCAGCCCGCCTCATGCACGCCGGCTGCTCTCTCGCCGCCGACTGCCCAGCCCCCCAGCACCCTTGCACTCCAGTCGCTGTAAGCGGGGCATGACCTCCAAGACGGTCCCAAGATGCCCCCAAGACCGCCACGATGGTCCAAGAGAGCCCAAGACGGCCCAAGAGGCCCCTTGGAAGCCTCAAGAAGCCCCAAGAAGCCTCCAAGAGGTTCTCCAGGAAGGCCCGGAGAGACCAAAATCATTGATTTTCGATTGGTGTTTGAAGGATTTGGGCATCTATCTCAAAACAGCCTTCCGACAACCTCAACAGGCCCCCAAGATTGCCCCAGGATCGCCCAAGAGGCCTCCAAGATGACCCCAGGACGGCCCAAGAGGCTCCCAAGAAGGCCTAAAGGGCCCCAAGACGGCCGCCATAGGGCCTCAAGACGGCCCAAGATGGCTTCTCATGGGGCATCAG